ACCTTAATGTAAAAACCTTATAAAGAAATTACAATAAGACATTTTGTGAACATTAATATAAATATCTAAAATAAAATATTAGTGAATTGAATACAGTGATAAAAATGATAATATAGTCAGGTTTGGATTATTTCAGGTGCTCTTTAGTCATTAGTTGTATGAACTTAAATTTAGTGTGATTTTCTTTCTTTATTATTTTTGGTGGAGAGGTTTTAGCTATAGGGCACATATGCTCGCCAGAAAGACAGAGACAGAGACAGAAAATGAGAAATCACTGCCTGGGGGGATGGCCATGCCGCAATCCCTTCTCCATTCTCCTCTCGGGATCTTGGGCACACACGCACATGCACCCGGCGTGAGTTTAAGCTACCAGGTCTGGGACTCGAACCGCAGTCAACTACATGGGAGTCCAGCGACATAGCCATTACGCCAACTGCTGGTTCCATCTTTCTTTCTTAATTGTCAGAGAGTGTGTGGATTCATTGGAGAGGGAGGGGGAGAGAGAAAGAGAAAGAGGGAAAGTGAATCAGCATCTCCTTTGGGAAATGGTCACACTGCAGTCCCTTCTCCCTTTCCCTTCCTTTTAGAAACTTGGGCACACACATGCACCTGGCATGTTTTCAAGTCACTGGGTCTGGGACTTGAACTGCTCAGTTAACCATGTGGAATCCAGCTGCCTTATCTTCTACACCACCGGCTGGCCCTTCAGTGCAATTTTCTGATGACATTTGTAAAACTTTACAAATGATACATGTGTAAGGCTGGCTCCATTGCCTAGTGGTTACAGGAACCTGACCCCACATGGCTGACAGTGGTTCGAATCCTTGCCCTGGTGATTTGAAAAACATGCCAGGCATGTCTGCATATGTGCCCCAACTCCGGAAAGGATGGAGACTTGGAGGAGGGATTGAGATATGCTTGTGCCCCAATGGGGGTGCTTTCTCCCTCTCTGTCTCTCTCTGGCAGGTTCACGTGGCCTCTGTCAATAAAAAATATGTATTTAAGTGTAAAAGTATGAAATGAAATATTTTTTATTCTATGCACTTTATTCTAAGTATTTAGAAGTTCTCTGACAGTTTAATCACATGATTTGCTGCTCTTAAACATTCTTCATTATGGGGATAATTTTTCAATATAGTTTTTGCTGAAGGTTCATTAAAAATGTAATTTGTCTGTAACTTATTTCTCAGTTTCTAAGAGACCTAAGTTATAGTTTCTATTTTGATATACTCCTATCTTTATACATTTCAATTATTATTTCAAGCTTTTATTTTAACATTGTGTTTGTATTGGCCATCTCATTGGTTAATGAAGTAGGTTCAGGTTTTAAGCAATATTTCTTTTTATAAGGAAGCTTTCAAAGAGGGATGTTTTTCTTTCCTTAAAAAAATAAAGTGATTAATCATAGTACTCCTTAGGGGTAGCCAGTTAAATTAACTGGAAACCAAAATCCTTGGTTAAATTTTCTTAATTTTATCACTTAGCTTTTTTCCTCCTTGTGTGGGTTATAAGATTCATTTCATAATTTCTCTTTTAATTTGCATCATACATATAATTAAAGGATAACTCAGATGTATATATTACATTATGCAGTAAGTTTTACTGAAGTTAAATATGTATAAAAATTGAACAGACTGATTTAAGGCATCGTTGTTAATTTGGATGCCATAATATTGTTGTATATTTAAAAAATTTCTTTCTATTAAGACATATGGAATATTTATAGTAGAAATGGTATAAAATATCTAGAATGTCTTTTAAGTATTTTTTAATAAAACAATGAGAGGGACCAGCAGGTGGCGTGGTTGGGACACTGGACTTCCACATGGCCAACTGGTTTGCATCCCGGACCTGGTGACTTGTTTTCTCACTTTCCCTCTCTCTCTGGTCAAATTAAAAATAAATAAATAAGTTTAAAAAATTAAATAACTTTTTTTTTTGAGAGATTTTTGCTACAGGGCTCATGTGCTCACCAGAAAGATAGACACAGAGAGACAGAAAGTGAGAAGTCACACCCCCCCCCCAAGTGGGATGGCCACGCCGCAGTCCCTTCTCTTCCATTCTTCTCTTGGGACCCTGGGCATGCACACACACACACCTGATGTGAGTTCAAGCCACCGGGTCCAGGTCTTAAACTGCGGTTGACCACATGGGGGTCCATTGACATAACCATTATGCCAACTGCTGGTCCCCCAAATTAAATAATTCTTAAAAAAAAAAAAAAGGAAAGAGGAAACTGATGAAAAATGAATGACTGAATGACAGAAAAATAGACAGAAAGTGAGAAGTCACCCCGGGGGATGGCCACGCCGCAGTCCCTTCTCCTCCATTCCCCTCTCGGGATCCTGGGTGCATACGCACGTGGTGTAAGTTTAAGCCACGGAGTCTGGCACTTGAACTGTGCTTGACTGCATGGGAGTCCAGCAGTGTAGCCATTACGCCATCTGCTGGTCCCCATGATGCATTTTTTTAAGGAATTATTTTATTGAAAATTGTTTATTTATTTATTTATTCATTCATTCATTTATTTTAATTTGACCAGAGAGGACAGACAGAGAGAGAAAGTGAGAAAGCTAGCCACCAGGTCCAGGACTCAAACTGCGGTTGGCCATGTGGGAGTCCAGTGCCCTTAACCACCATGCCACGTGATGGCCCCAGAACATAATGTATTTTCAAAGATAAGGTAAATGCATTAGTATACCAGTTAGAAGAATGAGCAAATAATCTTTTAAAGGAATATATTTTTTTTAAGAGAGATTTTTACTATAGGGCACATACACTCGCTGGAGAGGTGGACAGAGAGCAAGAAATCACCCCCTGGGAGATGGGCATGCTGTAGTCCCTTCTCTTCCATTCTCCTCTTGGGCTCTTGGGCACGCATGCACACGCGCCCGGCATGAGTTTTTTAAGCAACTGGGTCCGGGATGCGAACTCCGGTTGGCTCCATGGGAGTCCAGCGACATAGCCATTACGCTAACTGCTGTTCCCGAGACAATTATATTTTCAAAGTGGAAAACCTACAGCAAACCAGTACGGTTTCTACATTTCACTCACACTAATACTGGTCAATCCCAGTAGGCTGTGATAGACTATGTGAGTGTAATGTAATACACAGAATAAGCACTAAAAACACTGTATGTCAGTGGGAGGCGGGAGATCGGCTCCCAGGTCCCCCAGCTCTGTATTTGGTTGAAGTAAAGTGAGTATTGTCAAAGCGATTCTGTTTGTTAGGCCATGCCATTCCCTGTCCTGTGGCTTGGCCAAACAGGCTTTTCTTTTCTTTTTTAATAATTATTTAATTTTATTTATTAATTCATTAATTTTCATTTCAGACACACACACACACACACACACACACACACACAGAGGGAAAGTGAGAAAGCAGGCCACCAGGTCCAGGACTCGAACCCTGGTCAGTCATGTGGGAGTGTCCAGCACTTTAACCACCATGCCACCGATGCCTGTTTGGTCCGTGCTTGCTGATGTTTCCGGGGAGGCTTTTACAGCATCCCGTGCAGAGCATGTTGGAGGCAGCCAGCAGACCTAGGGAGCTCATGCTGTGCTGCTTTTCGAGGCCTGGAGGCCCAGGGCAGCCTCCTTGTTCTGTATCTTGGAGTCTTCCTGTGCTTGCTGGATCAGGGTTTTTAGCTGTAAGGAGGAGGACCTAGAGATGAAGTTGAGGTTTCTTTTCCTAGCCTGAATTGGAAGTCTTTGTATTCATTTAAAACAACTATAATGGGGTCAGCAGGTGGCGTGGTGGTTAAGGGCGCTGGACTCTCACATGGTGGACCGCGGTTTGAGTCCTGGACCTGCTGGCTTGCTTTCCCGCTTTCCCTCTCTTTCTTTCTCTCTTGCTCTGCCCTTCTCTGGTCAGAGAATAAAAATAAGTAAATAACAAAGTTAAATAAAATAATTCTTGAAAAAGAAAAAACAACTACAGTCAGCCGCAGTAACTTTAAATTGTGGCTGTATAGATCACTGTGCATGTACAAATCTCACTTTGTGGCATTCTGAAACATCGTAGAAGGAGATTCAGGTTTATTTGAGGCTATCTTGTGTGAAGTGAAACAGAAGCGCTCAGTTTCCACGTATGTGGCTAACAGGTTTTTTTTTTTTTTCAATTAATAGGCTGTAACTTTATGATTATCAAAAGAGTTTATTTCTGGGACCAGCAGTTAGCGTAATGGCTATGTCGCTGGACTCCCATGTAGTCGACTGCGGTTCAAGTCCCGGATCCGGTGGCTTAAACTCACGCCTGGCGCATGTGCGTGCGTGCCCAAGATCCCGAGAGGAGAATGGAGAAGAAGGGATTGTGGCATGGCCATCCCCCCTGGGGGGTGATTTCTCGCTTTCTGTCTCTGTCTCTCTCTGTCTGGCGAGCGCACGTGCCCTATAGCAAAAAAAAAAAAAAAAAAAAAAAACCTCTCCAAAAAAAAGAAAAAAAAAAAGGGTCTATTTCTAAGAAGTCAAAGTATGTTACTAGAGCTGAGGTAGAGGAAAGAACGTGGGTGTTGGAGTGAGGCCTGTCTGAATTCTGGAAGATGGAGTGACAGGTTTTCCAGGGCCACTAGGAGCCTGACTGGACTTCAGTCTTGGCTTTACCATTTCCAGGTGTGACCTTGGACAGATCACATGACTTGCCTTTGTCTCAGTTTCCTCATCGTAAGATAGGGATGACGGTACTGATCTGTAGGGTTCTTGTGACGATGAAGAGAGTTGTATGTAAGGCATTTAGAACCGGGCTCACGCATGCTCTGTGCTCTGAGTGTTTATTAGTACTCACCGTGTGCATGCCCTTACTCCGAGTCTCAGTCTCGTCACTTGTAAGACAGGGATAATCATGTATACATACGTTTTAGAGACCTTGCACAGTACCGAGGTCATGTTTGTATATTATATCTAGTGGGAATAGAATGAGACAATGTTTTTATTGAATAGGTTTCCAGATATTCTTATCCTCTAAATAAATCTGGATTTATTTGCTTCCCTTAATTGTACAGAACGGAAAGATGCTGAAGGGTGGGAGACCGTTCAGAGAGGAAGGCCTGTTCGTTCGCGATCAGCAGCAGTGACGCCGAAAGTTTCACTGGCGGCAGAAGCCGTAAGGTCAAAGGATGACAGTGACAAGGAGAACGTGTGTCTGTTACCTGACGAAAGCGTACCGAAAGGTGAATTTGTTGGAGATGAGCCTTCTCATACCATGGACTCTCGGCCCAAAGACACCTTACACTCGTGTGACCGTCCTCTTGCTGAAAGAACCCAGGTAGTTTGCTCTGGGGAGTCCTTTTCCTACCCTTTTCAGAGGTGGAATGTCTTATTTTTCTACCTCATTTTTAATATTGTGAAGTGTTCTAGAGCTACAGAAAAGGTGAAAGAACAGGAGCAGTCAGACAACCCCATCCTGTTCACCTAGATTCACAAGTTAACATTGCCAGTTATTCCCTCTTGCTGTGTATCAGACACACCCCGTATTACATGCTAAGCGTTGAGAGCAGTGTGCAGACACCATAACCATTAGCCTTTAAATGCTATAGTGCAGTGCCAGGAGGTGGCGTAGAAGTTAAGGAAACTGGGTCCCACATAGCTGACTCCATGGTTTGAGTCCTAAACCTTGCACTTGAAAAATGCACTGGGCTCGTGTACGTGTGTGCCCACAAATGCAGAGAGGAGAAGAGAGGAAGAATTGTGGCATGGCCATCCACCCTGGGGCGATGGGGTGATTTCTCTCACTCTCTCTCTGTCTCTTTGCACTATAGGAAAAAAAACAAAAATAAAACAAAACAGACCAAAAAAAAAAAAAAATCCTACAGTGTATATCTAAAAAGAAAAAAAAAATTATTTTACATAACCACAATTATGAAATTCAGATAGCTTGATATTTATGTAATATTTTCTATTTTTTAGTCTATCCAAAATTTTCTAGTTGTCCCATAATTTCTTTATAGAATTATTTTCTGCTGATTGAAGATCCAGTCTAGAATCACATAGCATATTGATTTGGATTACTATTATTATTATTTTTCCTTTTAGTTTTTGCTATAGGGTGCGTGCTTGCCAGAGACTGGTAGTAAAAGAGAAAGAAAAAAGAGAAAGTAAGAAATCACCCCAGGGGGGTGGCCACTCTGCACTCCCTTCTCCGTTCGCCTTTTGGGCATGCATGTACGTGTACCCTGCGTGTTTTTCAAGCTGCCAAATTTCACACTTGTCTGTGGAATTCCACTTGTGAGTGGAAGTGTGGGACAAGTGTGGGATTCCACTGCCTTAACCTCCAGACCTGCTGGCTCATCACCATCTTCATTATCACTTCTCAGGAAGCAGAGAGACACCATCTTAAACCAAGTAATCAGAGTTAACAGCAAACCTGGGTGCTGTTAAACAGTGACGTCATACACCTCTAGATGTGGCACTGAGGGTAATCCCTTCATTCCTGTCCAAACGCGTATGCTAAATCGAATTATAGACAATAAGCAAGCAAAGGACACTACCAAAAACTCTGCAGTGTGTTCTTTAAAAGCATTGTCATGAAACGCAAACAGACTGAGGAACTGTCCCCAGTGACATGTTAAAAAACAAATGAGAGAGTGACAGACAGACTCAGCCCAATAGGGCCTTCCTGCCACTGCCCACCTCCAGTCTCAGCCGGCTTGCCTAGGGAGTCCCAGGGCGTGATCCTTCCCCATGGGGCTCCAGTTGCAGCACCACTGTGCCAGCACTTGGCCCTAAATCACTCTTTTTTTTTTTTTTTTTTTAATAAAGTTTTTTGCCATAGGTCATGTGCGCTTGCTTGCTGGAGAGAGAGAGAGAGGAAGAGTGAGAAATTACCCCTCAGGGCAGATGGCCACGCCAAAGTCCCATCTTCACTCTCCCCTTGGAGATTTTGGGTAAACACATGTGCCCTATGGCCAAAGCCTTAAAGAGACAAAACAAAACAAAAACGGTTGCTAAAGCGTTTCAGTATAAAAGTTAGCTGCTGACGGTTGCCTTGTTGAGGGTAGTATTGTTTTATCCACTGTCATTTTCTGAAAATAAAATAGCTACATCTTTTCTCAATATTACTTTATAATTGAGCTTTGATTTTGTTATGAAAATGATACTGAGTTTTTTAAAAATATTTATAATTATGATTATCACTTTTCAACTTGTACAGGACATATGTATCACCAGAGAGAGAGAGAGACAGACAGACAGACAGACAGACAGAAAGCAAGCTGCCAGGTCCAGGACTTGAACCGCATTCTGCCATGTGGGAGTCCAGCACCTTAACCACCATGCCACCGGCTGGCCCCAGTACTGAGTTTTTAATAAACAGGGTTAACTATATTGTAAATATCAGTAATGCTAATATAAATATTATAAAATGATTATAAACCATGATGACTGACATATAAATAATGTTGATAGCAATATAAACAATACGATACTATTTAAATAATGCTTATGCTAAAATCAACACTTTGAGATACTTTAAGTTCTGACCAATAATAGAATTTTTAAAATAGTTTATAAGACTTGGCCAAGTTTAATATTTGTATAAATAATTAATCAAACTGGGAGTTTTATGGTCACTGCCGTGTTTACCTAATATTTATTTAAGAAGTGATGTGAGTGAGTTTTAAATTTACAGTTTTTGAATTTGGTTCTTTAATTTGGAGTGTAATTGAAAAACATTGTACCATTCTTTGCTTACTCTGTTAGAAAGTGAAAATAAAGGCTGCGTTCTGTTAACTGAATCAGAAAGTTTTTTTAAAAAATGGGTATGTATTTGGCCTAAGCCAGTGTTACAGTTTGTTGTTGTTCGTTTTTTGTTTGTTTGTTTGTTTAGATCACTTTCACCTTTCTTTTGGGGCTGTGTTAGGTATTCCTAGAAGGCTCTAGGGAGGGTGTGTAAACGAGAAGTGTTCATGAATGCAGGGGACCGCACACTTCGGACCTGCACATAGACCTCTCTCCTCGTAGATCTGAGAATTGGTGTTCTGTACGATGTGCATTTTTCTCAAAGATACTTTGAGGTCATGTTCATATTATCTGAAAGAACAAGTTTTATATTTTTGAGTAGAATGCTTTCAAAATATATTTTGGTATAAAAAGGCTTTAGGATGGGGGACCAGCAAATGGCGTAATGGTTACATTGCTGGACTCCCACATAGTCAACCGTGATTCGAGTCCTGAACTCGGAGGCTTAGAACTCACACGGGATATGTGTACGTGTGTGTGCATGTGTGCCTAAAATCCCGAGAGGAGAACAGAGAAGGGATTGTGGAGCGGCCAGCCCCTGGGGGGGCGGTGATTTCTTGCTTCCTGTCTGTCTCTTCAGTGAGCGCATGCGTCCTATAGCAAAAGCTTTTAGGATTTTTTTCTAAAGTGCTGAATAACCTCATTTGCTATTAGTCTGAGAAAGACCGTGTAAATATCTTGAGTTGTATAAGACAAAGTATTAAAATTGTGACTAAATTTCTTTTGTGAAGAATATAAAATACCCCCCAAGATTCTTTCTATTAAAAGAAAACATAGCTATAGTATGTATTGCTCACCTTTTTAGAGTACTTCAGACCCAGCCAATGCGTAGTTGACATGCAAATACAATTTGTGCTGCTTAATGAGATTTCTCCTTTTATAACGTTTGAAACACATAAAAAAGATAAGTAAGTTTGTCATCCGTTCCGATACTGCTTCACAGCCAGTAGGTGAAGTAGAGTCGGTTCTTCTAGAGTGGTACAGTTGGTGAATATTTATGTTTTACTATCCCTGACTCACTTTATAATATGTTTTGTTAGTTTACAGTGAGTACATCGGATGATGTCAACAATTCTGGCAGTCGTCGGGACTGTACTTCGCGAACTGCTGAAACCCCCGCCGTTCACGTTGACGCAGAGTGTGTCTCGGTTACCCTGCACGCTGACACACCTCCTTTGCAAACCAAGGGAGATAAGTGGCCAGCAGAGAAAGTGAGGATCGAAAGCGAAATGGACCCTTCCGATCTTTCAAATGTGAGTGCTGCTCACTTGCTCAGAGCACCTTATCAGAGTTCTGAGTCCGTTCCAGGCATAAACGTCAGTAGTAATAGTCTGTGTGATTTGCTGCCTTCTATTTAACAAGACAGTTTCTTATAAAGTCTTTTATGCATGTTATTTCATTTTAACACTGTATTTCTTAAAGTCGTCTTTTGATACAGTTCAGATTCTTCTCGTTTTGTAGAGGAAGAAAGTGGGGCTGTAAGAGTGAACTTGTTCAGAATCGTTCTGTTTGTATGTGATTTGACGAAGTGCTCTCTTGCCCAGGATTAAGAGTCTGTATGAGTAACAGAGTCCTGTGTGCAGCATCGAGCGTTCTGACAGTGGGGAAATGGTGTTTGCTGGACTCAGTTTCAAAACTGTCTCGGGACCAGCAAGAGGTGGAGGTTAAGGCACTGGATCCCACATGGCCACCTTCACATTCGAGTCCCAGACCCCACAGCTACAAAATTAGGCCAAGTGCACGTGCATGTGTGCTGAAATCCTGGGAGGGGAATGGAAGAGAAGGGATTGTGGCGTGGCCATCCTCCCCGGAGGTGATTTCTTACTCTCCTCTCTCTCTCTCTCTCTCTCTCTCTCTCAACCTACAGCAAAAACAAAAAATAAAAATAAAAGAGTTTTATGTGGATATGTTTTTATTTCTGTTATAATATATGTGTGTGTGTGTGTGTGTAATTGTTGGGCCATATTAACCCTACGGTTAGCCTTTTCAGAAACTGTCATGCTGTTTTCCTGAGTTGTATCATTTGACATCCTCACTAGGTTTGTTTGCTTGTTTATACAGTTCTCCCAGATTTCGCTTCATGTGTTTTCCCAGATTTTGCTTCGTATATTTTGAGGCTCTGTCTAGTCTGTAAACATTTAGCACTGATTGACCTTTCCATTGTTATGAAATGACCTTCTTTATCCTTGGTGGTATTTTTCACTCTGAAATCTTCTGGGCCTGATGTTGATACTTCAGCATGCTTTTGATTATTATGGATCTTTTACTTGCAATCTGTCTGTATCCTTATATTTAAACTAGTTTTCTTATGGGAAGTACGCGGTTGGGTCTTGTTTTTATCCAGTTGGACAGTCTGCCTGCTAGTTGGGGTGTTTAGGTTTTTACATGTAATGTTATTATTGATAGCTTATTTACATCTGCTGTCTTACTATTTGTTTTCTCTTCGATCCATGTGTTACCATTATGCCATCTGCTCGTCCCATATTATGTGATAATTTATTACACAAGGATTCTCATGCATAGTAATATTTGCTGTGAATATATATTTTGTTGTGGAGAGAGATTTTTGCTATAGTGTGCATGTGCTCGCCAGAGAGACAGAGACAGAGAGACAAAAAGCGAGAACTTACCCCCCAACAGGGATGGCCACACCGCATTCCCTTCTCCTCCATTCTCCTCTCAGGATTTTGGGCACGCACACACACATGCCTGGTATGTTTTAAGCCACTGGGTCTGAGACTCAAACCACAGTTGACTACATGGGAGTCCAACGCCCTAACCATTGTGGCATCTGCTGTTCCCCGCAGTGCATATTTTTAAGTCACATGTGTATGTGTCAGACAGTACAATCACCATTGTATCATATATTCCTTCCCTGTTCCCATCATAGGGTACTATTTGATTCCATATGTAGTGAGCATATTTAATCTATAACTGTTTTGATTTTTGGCATTTTAATGAAATTCACACTTTGTCTTTAATGGTACCTATTATTTATATAACTTTACAGTTTCTCATATACAGCAGCCTGGTAAAGAAGGTAAGTCATGTATTATTAATGCTCTGTTTTATGGAATACCAAATGCACCCCTTGTTTTCAAGAAACATCTAAGAATAGGAAGTGGTCGAGTCTATATTGGATCCCGGGTTTTAGAGTTCTAGATCAGTGCTGCATTATATGTAGTATCGGGGTAAGTGATTGGAAAATAAAGAAGTGATTACTTAGTTTCCTAGTCCAGTGACAATTCTTCTTTTGTTTGTTTTTAACTTTTTAGTCCATGGCAGAAGTCCTTGCTAAAAAAGAAGAGCTGGCAGATCGCCTAGAAAAAGCCAATGAAGAAGCCATTGCTAGTGCAATTGCTGAAGAAGAACAGTTAACTAGAGAAATCGAAGCTGAAGAAAACAATGACATTAACATTGAAACTGACAACGACAGCGATTTTTCTGTGAGCTTTTAGAATTTTTAACATCATCATTCGAATTAATATTCAAAAATGAAATTATAAGGGCCAGAAAGACATGGAGTTCATCTAGTTCTACTTAAAATTCTTTATTTAAAAATCATCTCCAAGATTATAGCTACGATTGTTATTCTTTTTTTTAAAGAATTGTTTTTATTTATTCATTAATTTATTTTAATTTGACCAGAGAGAGACAGAGAGAGAGAGAGAGAAAGTGGAAAAGCAAGCCACCAGGTCTGGGTGGCTTGGTCAGCCATGTGGGAGTGTCCATCATGCCACCTGCGGGCCCCACTAGATTATTATTCTAAAAGTGATTTAGACTTACACAGTACACAGTAGCAAACCTTTTTTTAGCACTTTGCCATTGCTAAATTTTTCATATATGATGCAGTTGACAAGTTGGAAGTTGTTATTCTCATTTGACAAAACAAGGAATTGAAGCTCACAGAATGTAAGAACTCAGCATTACTTAAATTGTAATTTGTTGAGACTGAAGAAAAGTGAAGGTATTCTACTTACTCTATTCCACTTACAAAAACCAATTATACATTGCCTTGCTGTCACTGAGTGCTCAGGATATTTATGTTGATGTAAGGAATTTGTTAAAGAATAAAAGTAACCATAAATGCTTCACATATTTTTTTCTATTTTTTAATTTTTTGTTTATTTTTAAATTTGCTGTAGGGCATGCGCACTCACTGGAGAGAGACAGAGAGAGTGTGAGAGAGGGAAAACGTGTAAGAACCCACTCCCGTCTGTGAAACATATTCCTCTTCCCCTCTCCTCCCCGGGAAGGATGGCCTCAGTCCCTTTTCCTTCGTTCTCTTCTCAGAATTTTGGGCATGCATGCACACATGCCCAGTGTGATTTTCAAGCTGCTAGGTCCAGGACTCGAACCCTGTAGTCCACCAGGTGGGATCCAGCTGCCTTAACCTTCTCACCACCTGCCCACCCTATTTCACATATTTTTCTATTAAAATGTCTTCAAGTCTGTGTCTCCAGAATTCTTCCTGAGAAAGAGACAGAGACACAGACATAGGCATTCCCAGCAAAGTCTTCATGCCACAGTCCATACCAGCCTCAGCCAGCGAGGATCAGGGGCTCGCATCTGTGCTCAGTGTGCACAGGGACACCTCCGGAGACAAACCAAGGCCCTTCCCATGTGACCCCAGTATCACAGAGCATTGTGCTGCCCCATACCACCATTGCTGACCTCTGTTAAATGTTAACGCCCAACAAACAAGCTTGAGCTCTTTGAGTGTGTGTTCCCCGTGCTAGCATTTATTTAGTAGTAGTGTAAGGCCAGTTTGTCTCCTTTTACATTTATTCGGTTCATCTTTGCTGTTGATTGCTAGTAGGCACTTAAAATGTACAGGCTTTCATATTTAACTCTGTAATTACTGTGACTAACACAAGGTATGTAGCCTTTATAGGGTTTTGAACTCCTGTTTGAATGCAATAAATTAACAAGTAGGATGATTTCATGTATAGTTCATTTTTTAAGGTTGTAATTGTGTTAAAAGGTTTGTTTTTCAATTTCCCTTATTATGTTTCAGGCCAGCATGGGCAGTGGGAGTGTGTCTTTCTGTGGTATGTCTATGGATTGGAACGATGTCCTTGCAGATTATGAAGGTATTGGTTTGTGTGTGCCTGTGTGTTTGGTATGTAGGTACAGTGGAATAAAATAAACCCTCTTATTGCGTGGAGTTTCTGTATAAAATAAATGATTTGGAGTAGGAATGCTGTTGCTTTCAAAAGTCTGTTCTCCTTGTTGGTTTTATAGAACTATAGCGTTAAACAATAACAGCAGTTTTGTTTTTTCTGAACAGCTCGTGAATCTTGGCGTCAAAACACGTCCTGGGGGGATATCGTGGAAGAAGAACCTGCTCGACCTCCAGGACATGGGATTCACATGCACGAGAAGCTTTCCTCGCCATCTCGTAAAAGGTCTGCCTTAGAAAATTAATTTAAAATATTACACAGGAGAGAAAACAGCTACTTTTGATGATTAGAGTTGTTACGTGACCTTTTTAGGCACATTGCTTTGGGAAGGTTTCAGACCCATTGAAAAGTGACAGCAATTTCCTAAAATGTTAGGCTGGAATTTGTTTTGTATACTCCAAGGACTTGAAATCTAAAGAACACTGTTTTTGGCCTGATGTAAACATTTATGTCTCTTATCCTTTTCTTTGTATTAATAGAACAATTGCAGAATCCAAGAAGAAACATGAAGAAAAACAAATGAAAGCACAGCAGCTAAGGGAAAAATTACGTGAAGAGAAAACATTAAAGCTTCAGAAATTGTTAGAGAGGGTGAGTTTTTACTTTATAGGAAATTATGGTAGTCTTAATTTGGTGGGCTTATTATCAGCTGGAATGGGAAAAATTAGGACAACACAACATGGCCAAGGAACACAATAAATTTCTAGTAACTGATCCAAACAAATGGAAATTTACAAATCACTCAACAAAGAATTAAAAGTAATTATAGATGGTCATCAGACTGCAAGAGAACACAGATAAATACTTCATCGAGATCAGGAAAACAATATTAGAACTGTATTTTTTGAAGCAAATACACTTACATAATATCTTTTATCACTATATGATTTCAAGTATTCATGCCAACAAATGATAGATTACTTAAATTGTACAAGAGTTTCGAGGTTCACTAATTTTCCCATAAATGTAGCTGTCCCTTCCAATTTTTTTCACATCATAACTTTATTTACATATATAAATAATATGCTAGAAGAGTTCAGAAATGGAATCCATTTTTTAGATTTTTCACATCCAGAATTCTTCCTGAGAAAGAGACAGAGACACAGACATAGGCATTCCCAGCAAAGTCTTCATGCCACAGTCCATACCAGCCTCAGCCAGCGAGGATCAGGGGCTCGCATCTGTGCTCAGTGTGCACAGGGACACCTCCGGAGACAAACCAAGGCCCTTCCCATGTGACCCCAGTATCACAGAGCATTGTGCTGCCCCATACCACCATTGCTGACCTCTGTTAAATGTTAACGCCCAACAAACAAGCTTGAGCTCTTTGAGTGTGTGTTCCCCGTGCTAGCATTTATTTAGTAGTAGTGTAAGGCCAGTTTGTCTCCTTTTACATTTATTCGGTTCATCTTTGCTGTTGATTGCTAGTAGGCACTTAAAATGTACAGGCTTTCATATTTAACTCTGTAATTACTGTGACTAACACAAGGTATGTAGCCTTTATAGGGTTTTGAACTCCTGTTTGAATGCAATAAATTAACAAGTAGGATGATTTCATGTATAGTTCATTTTTTAAGGTTGTAATTGTGTTAAAAGGTTTGTTTTTCAATTTCCCTTATTATGTTTCAGGCCAGCATGGGCAGTGGGAGTGTGTCTTTCTGTGGTATGTCTATGGATTGGAACGATGTCCTTGCAGATTATGAAGGTATTGGTTTGTGTGTGCCTGTGTGTTTGGTATGTAGGTACAGTGGAATAAAATAAACCCTCTTATTGCGTGGAGTTTCTGTATAAAATAAATGATTTGGAGTAGGAATGCTGTTGCTTTCAAAAGTCTGTTCTCCTTGTTGGTTTTATAGAACTATAGCGTTAAACAATAACAGCAGTTTTGTTTTTTCTGAACAGCTCGTGAATCTTGGCGTCAAAACACGTCCTGGGGGGATATCGTGGAAGAAGAACCTGCTCGACCTCCAGGACATGGGATTCACATGCACGAGAAGCTTTCCTCGCCATCTCGTAAAAGGTCTGCCTTAGAAAATTAATTTAAAATATTACACAGGAGAGAAAACAGCTACTTTTGATGATTAGAGTTGTTACGTGACCTTTTTAGGCACATTGCTTTGGGAAGGTTTCAGACCCATTGAAAAGTGACAGCAATTTCCTAAAATGTTAGGCTGGAATTTGTTTTGTATACTCCAAGGACTTGAAATCTAAAGAACACTGTTTTTGGCCTGATGTAAACATTTATGTCTCTTATCCTTTTCTTTGTATTAATAGAACAATTGCAGAATCCAAGAAGAAACATGAAGAAAAACAAATGAAAGCACAGCAGCTAAGGGAAAAATTACGTGAAGAGAAAACATTAAAGCTTCAGAAATTGTTAGAGAGGGTGAGTTTTTACTTTATAGGAAATTATGGTAGTCTTAATTTGGTGGGCTTATTATCAGCTGGAATGGGAAAAATTAGGACAACACAACATGGCCAAGGAACACAATAAATTTCTAGTAACTGATCCAAACAAATGGAAATTTACAAATCACTCAACAAAGAATTAAAAGTAATTATAGATGGTCATCAGACTGCAAGAGAACACAGATAAATACTTCATCGAGATCAGGAAAACAATATTAGAACTGTATTTTTTGAAGCAAATACACTTACATAATATCTTTTATCACTATATGATTTCAAGTATTCATGCCAACAAATGATAGATTACTTAAATTGTACAAGAGTTTCGAGGTTCACTAATTTTCCCATAAATGTAGCTGTCCCTTCCAATTTTTTTCACATCATAACTTTATTTACATATATAAATAATATGCTAGAAGAGTTCAGAAATGGAATCCATTTTTTAGATTTTTCACATTTTACACACTTTAATTACAAACTCTGCCTTCCATTGGTTTGATGGGTTATTGTTTCCAATTCTGTCCGGCCTCTGTGGTCTCCTCTGATCTCCACAGTAACCCTGCAGTGCACAGGGCAGGCCTGGCTCTCCAGTCCACGGGTGGTGGAGACGAATCCAGGGGAGAGTGAGTACTGTTCCCAATGTCACATGGCCAACGGTTTGTTACCAAGACTTTAGAGACCTGTCCTCTAACTCCTGGTAGGGGTGCTGCATCTGCTTCATAGTTCCTTAGGTGGTTTATCACAGAAATACTTAGATAAGGTTGAACTGAAATGATTTTTCTTATTCATACTGAGAATGCTTCTGATTTTCTATGATTTTCTTCTCATTGGTACTGAAATTTATTTCTTAGAGTACAGTGCAAGTCTTATTTTGCCAGTGTGGCATTGCTTTAGGGTGTGTGCACTTGCTGGAGAGAGAGAGAGAGAGAAATTGAGATATCACCCCCCCCAAGGGGGGTGACTATGCCACAGTCCCTTCTCCATTTCCCTCTCAGGATTCTGAGCACGTATGAACACACTCCTGGCATGATTTTTAAGCCACTGGGCCCAGGACTCAAACCACGGTTGGCCATGTGGGAGTTCAGTGCCTTAACTACCACTACACATGCTGGCCCGGTTTGACATTATTTTAAGGAATTAAAGGCTATTTTTGTATTTGTCTGTATTCTGGAGATGAAACCCTCTCTGTGCCCTTAGATAGTGCTTCTTACATAGATGTGCTTTTTCATGCTAAGATGTGTGCCATAGGCTGGGGTCACATGGAGGGGTGTCCACATGTGGTTCCTGGTCCAAGCTAAAGGCTAGTGTGGCTGTAATCCCAGCACCTCTGGAGGCTGAAGCAAGAGGATGATAAACTCAGGGCTCACTTAAGCAATGTAATGAGGCCTCATCCAAAAAAGAGCCTAGCCTGCTGGCGTTCCACCTGTGGTCCCAGGGAGACCGAGTCAGGAAGGTCATGATATACTGAGGCTTTAAATGTCTTTAAAGAAAAGTGATTTTTCAGACTTGTTACATGTTTTAATCTCTGGGATAACACTTCTTGTTTTTCTTGAATGTGGGTTGTATGTACAGACACTGAGGTTTTTAAGGAAGAAATACACATTCTATTGGCAACGGTTCAGTGCAGTAGACACAGTAAATGTTCCTGGGGAGCAGTATCTGAGCCAGATACAGTCTGGGACTGCCTCGACTACTCCAGTCTTCAGAGTAACCCGATGGGCCAGGTACTATGAGTACGGATTCTGCCCCTCCTTTCTTTCTTTTTAATCTTTACCAGACGACACAGTGACTTTCCAGAGAGAAAGAGAGAGAGGGAGCCTCCATGGAGGCAGTCATGTCACGTGGCGTCCAGTGGTCCCAGCTACCACGCCACTGGCCGGCCCATGCTCCCTTTTTATAGATACTAAGACACAGGCCGGAAGGTTGCGCCCATGACACAGCTTGAGAGTGGCCAGGTACATAAAGAACTCAGGGGTCCTGTTTCTGATGTCGTCCTTGGTCCGTAGCCACGCTCCTGTAGCTCTTTCCAGGTTCGGACTGGATATTTCACAAGCCATCTGCCTGTTTGCACTTTGGTTAAATGATCGTATACTCTGACATTAATGATGCGATAATTCACTGTACGTAGGAGAAGGACGTCCGAAAGTGGAAGGAGGAGTTACTAGATCAACGACGGAGGATGATGGAAGAGAAATTACTTCATGCTGAGTTTAAACGAGAGGTGCAATTACAAGCCATTGTGAAAAAAGCACAGGAGGAGGAAGCCAAGGTCTATTATATTATTTGTGGTTGAAACATCAAACTGATTACCAAAATAACTTTCCATATTGTCTCGGAACAGTGGTATTGGGCTGGGTGAAACCCAAAGCTCTGTGAGGATGACCCTGTGGGAAGGTTCCAGGCTGACATCTGGAGACCTCCCTGAGTGTGCCAGGCACAGGCATGGTGCGGATTGCCGGGGCAAGACCACGTTGGTGATGCTGGCTCTCTTTCTCAATCGTGGAATAAATAAGTAAATGATAAAAAGTAATAGTAATGCTGATCACGTATTCCATTTCAGAGTAGAGGTTCATTTAAAACTTACTACGCTCAGTATCTTACTTTATTCCTGTAATAATCCTATGAAACACACGTATATGTTTTTCAGCTCTATTGAGATATAAATGACAAAGAAGTTGCTATCCATCTTTATTTCACTTATATCTTTCTAATCAATCCTTCACTATCTTTCCTTCTTTGTTTTGTTGCTTAAATGTAATTACTTTAAATCTACTTTACTGTTCTCTTTTTTAGTTGCCAGAGGCTGCGTGCACTTTTCCAGAGACAGAGAGAAAGAGAGGGATAACTCAAGCAGGAGTGTGGTCCTTGAGCAATCCCTTCTTCATTTCTCATCCTGCCATGCTTGGCGTGGTTTTCAAGCCTCTAGGACTGGGATTCGGATTGTGGTTGGCTGTGTGGGATGTGGCTCCCAAAGCCAGTAGACCCAGAGACAGAGAGAAAGAGAGGGATAACTCAAGCAGGAGTGTGGTCCTTGAGCAATCCCTTCTTCATTTCTCATCCTGCCATGCTTGGCGTGGTTTTCAAGCCTCTAGGACTGGGATTCGGATTGTGGTTGGCTGTGTGGGATGTGGCTCCCAAAGCCAGTAGACCGTGGAGCCGACTCCACTTTACTTATACTTCCCGTTGGTATCACAGCAGCTGTCAGTAATGTTGCTGTGACTCTCCTCTCTGTGCAGTTCTGAAACCTTACTCTCTGGCCCCACTCTCCCAACCAAGCTCTTGACTGCATCGCCTGTTGCTTGGTGGGTTATATTCAGTGGAACTCATGCGCTTACCATGGCCTTACTCCAGACCAGGTGCTCTTCCTGAAATCTGCTTTGCAGATGACAGTTACACTGGTCTCCCATTAACCTAGACTTGGAAATTTTGTTTTCATTTACTTCAGAGAGAGAGAGAAGGGGAAAATAAGAAAGCAAGCCACCAGGTCCAGGACTCAGATCTCAGTCAGCCATGGAGGAGTCCAGCACATCAGCCACCATGCCACCTGGTGGCCCCTACATGATACGTCTATTTATAAATCTATTTTACTTTCATTTTAGGAGAAGAAGTGAAATAGAAGTAAACTAGAGGAAATTGTTGAGTTTGTAATGTTACTTTAGCACAGACAGGATTATTTCTCTTAAGATTTTTTTTCTAAAGAATTATTTATTTCGGGACCAGCAGTTGGCATAATGGCTATGTTGCTGGACTCCCATGTAGTCAACCGCGGGTTGAGTCCCGGACCCGGTGGCTTAAACTCACGCCAGGCATATGTGCATGTATGCCCAAGATCCCAAGAGGAGAATAGAGAAGGGATTGTAGCATGGCCACCCCCCCTGGGGGGGGGTGATTTCTTGCTTTCTGTCTCTCTGTCTGTCGGTCTCTTTCTGGCGAGTGCATGCTCCCTATAGCAAAAACCTCTCCAAAAAAAAAAAAGAAAAAAGAATTATTTATTTATTTTATTATTATTATTTTTTAAAATTTGCTGTAGGGCACGTGTGTCACCAGAGAGAGAAAGCAAGTCACCAAATCTGAGACTCCAACCATGGTCAGCCACGTGGGAGGCCAGCACCTTAACCACTATGTCACCTACGAGCCCCTCCCTTAAAATTTTTTAAAATTATAAAAAATTATGAAGCATATTGAGAGTTTTTATTTGTTCAACTCCATTTTAATTTTTAACAACTTTGAAGAAGTTCCTGCAAAAAGAGATTAGTAAATTAGTACTCACTTTCTTTCCATCTTCATAATCCACAACAATTTTTCATGGTTTCATTATTTTTTACATTGTTAAAATTTATTATATTTATAATTTGCTTTGGAATTATGAAGTCTTCAGTTTATTTTTCTCACAAATATAAATGAATTCAATACTTACCAAGCCTTTATTTAAGAGTTCTTTGTTTCGATTTATCTCTTGGTTTGCAGGATTTTATTAGGAAGTCATTTTTTCAGGGAACCCTTATACATGCTGTATTCTTTGAGTTCTTATGTGTGTCAGGCCTGCGGCATTTCTACTTGAATTATATCTTGGCCTGAGATCCAGTTCATGATTCACAGTATCTTTCCTTCAGAGCCTTGCAGGCATTGTTTTATTGTCTTCCAGCATTAATTATTTCTGTGATTTCTGTGGGGAGTCTGAGGGCACACTGAATTTTCTCTTTCTTGTAGATGACTTGCATTTACTGCTTGGAAGCTTCACAATTTGTTGTTCTTCTTTAACGTTTTATAATCTGATAAGGATAGTCTTATTATTATTATTAATATTTTGGAGAGGTTTTTGCTGTAGGGCTTGTGCGGTCACCAGACAGACAGACAGAGACAGAGAGACAGAAAGCAAGAAATCACCCCCCAGGGAGGATGGCCACGCCGCAATCCCTTCTCCTCTATTCTCCTCTCAGGATCTTGGGCACGCACGCACATGCGCCCTGCGTGAGTTTTAAGCCACTGGGTCTGGACACAAACTGCGGTCGACTACGTGGGACTCTAGCGACATAGCCATTACGCTAACTGCTGGTCCCAATAAGGAAAGTCTTAATTTTTCAAGTCAGTTTTTCATGAAATAATGTAGGCTCTTTCATTCTTAAATTTGATTCTTTCTTTCAGGGAATATTTCCTGTATGTAGTGTATTCTGTTGCTTTTCTTGACTGCATAGACATTACATTAGCTCGTCTTCTCTAGTTCTCCGTACTCTAAGCTTATCTGTCCACTGACCTTCATTGTAAAATATGTATTAGCTGATTACCACAAGCCTTTCGTCTTTTGGTAATTTGAGTTTCCACCATCTTTATTTCAGACTTTTTCTATTTTAATTAATTCTGCACTAGTGTTAAGCTTATTTGTCCACTGATTTTCATTTGTAAAATATGTATTAGCTGATTACCACAAGCCTTTCGTCTTTTGGTAATTTGAGTTTCCACCATCTTTATTTCAGACTTTTTCTATTTTAATTAATTCTGCACTAGTGTTACTTTCGTCTTCAGTTTGTTTCCTCAGTTCTCTCGTCATCCTTTAATATTATGTTTTGTTTTCGAATATCAGGTCTTGCCATGCTGCATATCAAGATCCTCGTGTCTCAGCCTCCCAGCTGGGACTACAGGCTCACACCAGCACACCCAGCTCTTTTTTTTTTTTTTTTGCCACAGGGCATGTGTACTCGATGGTGAGAGAGAGAGAGAGATGGTGAGAGAGAGATAGAGAGAAAGAAAGCGAGAAATCACCCCCTAGGGGAAATGGCCACATTGCAGCCCTTTCTCTTCTGCTTTCTTCTTGGGATTCTGGGCATGCCCACACATGCACCCAGCATGATTTTCAAGCTTCTGTGCTTGGTACTTGAACTGTGGTCAGCCATGTGGGAGTCCAGTGCTTTAACCACCATACTATCTGCTTACTCCCACCCAGCTCTTTTTAAAAATAGGTTGTTGCTGTGTTGCCCAGGCCAACCTGGATCCTCCCACCTCAGCCGCTCTGAGTCTGGGATTATGGGCACACACCACCGTGGTGCTGGACTGGGAATCGAACCTGAGCCTCTTATGTGGTCTCAGCTTATGGTGTACAGTGTCTCAGTTCTTGCCTGCATGGATGGATCTTAACATGTTGTTTCATCATCTTTTTGTTTGTTTGTTTGCCCCTTTATATTCATGTTCTTACTAGCTTCTTCAGTGTTACCAGATTTGCATGGGGAGTTTTCTGCTGTCCCTTGGGTTAGGTGTTCTTCCAGCTTGGGCTTTTTCAGCCTGACTTTTGTATACTATCTTCCTTCTGAATTTCATTTTATTTTATTTTGCTTAGTACATGAGATCCCATTCCTTTTTTAAAAATCTTAATTATGCTTAACACATGAATCTTGATAAAATATGAATAAATTTTCCTTGAATTTTATTTCCAAGCAGTTTGAAAGTATAGTCTGAAAGATAATAGCAAGATTAATCTGCTTATAGGTGTACTAAGTGGCCTCGTGGCATGGAGATTGGGAGAGTTTAGTTAGGACCGTATGCAAACCTCTTGTCTAAGATAAAAGATCTTGAGAGAGCTTTAACTCCATCCCGCCTGGATTCCTGGAGGTTATGCTTCTGTCAAAGATTGTCAACTGTTAACATCCTGTTTCTACTCTGCCATTTTCATTGTATCATACCTCCCTCTGGCTTTCAAGAAAGAGAGATTAGGTCCCAGTGGGTTTTTGGGACTTTGTCATTAGCTATGTCATTAGCTATACTTTACTCATAAAAATTCCTGGCTAGCAAAACATGGCTGCTAGGAATCAGGATATGTGAAGTTTGAGTATAGTTCAGCACCTGGTCCCTGTTACTTGTTCATGCATGTTGAAGAAAAGTGATTTAAGTTTTATGTTCTCAAACTCATTAGAACACACAAACATACCTATTTAAATCTTAATTTGTATACTTGCAAATTACAGTGGTGTCAAGTGGAACTTTATCAGATGGACTCTGTGGGAATCTTAAATTGATTTTTTACTTAAAAACATTTTCAGTGAAAGACTTCTAATCAGTTCTTTTTTTTTTTCCCAATTTATTTATTTGCATTCATTCACTGTACATCATTACAGCATACAAAATGAGATTTTCCATCTAGAGTACACTGTATATTGTCTCAATCAAGCACATCAACAAATATGTTATTCTTAGCAAATGATCTCCCATTTCTTGTTTTCTGTATGTTTTGCTTTTTCCCCCCATCCTTGGTTCCCTATCTTTTACCCTCTGTCACCTCCTGTTCTCCTCCCACACTGTCTCTGTTATCTATGTTTGCTTTCTGTACCATTTCCCCCCCACATTTTATTGAATCACCAAAGACCCTAGTCAATCCGAATACCCTCCTAGCAAACACATGACACACATTTCCATGAGCACAAGTCTAACTTTACACATCCTATAAAGTAGCACCTAACTGGAGCTACATATCCTACTGCAGTCATTGAATAGATACATTTTTTTTCCTGAAACACACCACCTCTAGTGTCCAAAATTGTCCTCCATTCCCTTCCCACCCACATTGCATTGATCACACAATTTCCTACATAACCTGACTACTTTCAAAGGTGAGTTCCCTCGTTACTACTAAGAAAACCAGTTTTAACTTAAATCAAAGAACCGCCAAGGAACTTTGCTTAAAGCCCGGAAACAGGTTAGGATTCTGTTCAAATGGTAGGTGCATGAACCTATCAGTCTCATATACTTTTATCTTCTGTTCTGGTTCAATTTTCCTGATTAAATTCTGGGATATAGTATTCAACTCCAGACTTGTCCCTATGATTAAGTTAGCTACTTTCTCAGTTTTTGGACTCTTATTTCCATGTATCTGCGTTTAGTTTTCCTGATACAGCACACCCTTGAGAACTTCTTGGAGGTCTGGTCTGGTGCTGGTAAATTCTTTCAGGATTTGTTTATCTGAGAATGTTCTTGTCTTTTCTTCCCACCTGAAAGATAATCTTGCCGGGTACAGTATTCTTGGCTGAAATTGCTTCTCTTTTAACACTTGGAATATATTTTCCCATTCTCTCCTCGCTCGTATTGTTTCGATGAGAGATCTGCTGTTAGCCTGATGGGATGTCCTTTGTAGGTAACTTGATGTTTTTCTCTTGCTAATCTTAGTATCTTGTCTTTGTCTGCAGTTTTGGTCAACCTGGCTATAATGTGTCTTGGAGAAGATCTTCTAGGGTTGATTCTATTTGGGGTCCTTTGTATTTCCTAGGACTGGATCCTCGAATGCCTCTCTAGGTTTGGAAAGTTTTCATGCAGGATTTCATGGAATAGTTCTAATCAGTTCTTAACTGAGATCTGTGGGTTAGTTATTTATGTACACTGGCTTATTATCCATTTTGAAGTGAGCAGTTAAAGAAAAAATCCACGAGTTATTCTTTTGTTGTTGCTGTTGCTCTGTGTGTCAACCCTGGTTCATATTACTATGTAAAGACTGTTGTTAAATTTATTTTTGTGATATGTCCTAGAATTATCTTGATCTGGTCCTCACTTTCTTTATGTTTCTTTAAGGTAAATGAAATTGCCTTTATAAATACCCTTGAAGCCCAGAATAAGCGCCATGATGTCTTATCAAAATTAAAGGAATACGAACAAAGGCTTAATGAGTTACAAGAGGAGCGTCAGCGAAGACAGGAAGAAAAGCAAGCACGTGATGAAGCTGTGCAGGTGGGGTTCTATTCAGCAAGCATTTATTGAGCGCCTGGCATGTTTTAGACTCCTAGCTAGAGCTAATGATTCAAAAAGGAGGGGCCCAGCAGGTGGTGTGGTGTTAAGGCACTGGACTCCCACGTGGCTGACCGCGGTTCGTGTCTTAGACCTGGTGGCTTACTTTCTCTCTCTCTGGTCAAATCGAATAATAATAATTATAAATACAATTAAATTAATAATTATTTTTTAAAAAAGATTCAAAAAGGAATGAAACCTAGTCTTTGTTCCCAAGGGTGCCTGGTTCAAGATAGCACTTTCTGGAAACTTGAAACCTGATTGCCAAAAGACAGTGTGTACTCCTTGAGAGAGGGTCATCGGTGCCCTCATCACTAGACTGTAGTTACAGAGACCCAGTCTCTAGCCTCAGCCAGCAGAAGGGTTAGACTGTTTTGGACAGGTTATTATTGTTTCTTTTCTAATTGGGCTGGGCAGAAAACCCATGGTTGCTGCCATCGTCTCAATAAAAGGATTGTTTTCACAGCACAGAGACCTTCAAAAAATTGGGCACTCTTGATGCTTACGACGAGGAATACTTGTCCTCCTTGAACCAGCACAGCGGGTAACTTGTAGTACCTCAATGAAACGGTCGCTGAAGGGATAAGCCAGTAAACGTTAGTCACAGTAGAGACAGTCTGTCTGCGTTTACACTCGAGTATCGTAAGATTGTTCTCTTAAGATGGGATCTCACATGCCGACTCTGCATTAAAAATGAGCTGTGAAGTTTAGTATAAGGAGGTCTCAGGTCCTTCCACAGACCCAAGAGTTAGTTAAGTTCTAATTCATTTACTGTAGGTCTGTATTCTTTATTTGCAGATACATAGATTCATAATGCATGTGATTTTTGAAAGTCACGCTTCATTTCTTAGGTATTTAAGAACTTTGTGGGATACAGCATTTCCTACCTTTAAGGAAATGAATTTTCGATCAGAAAATGCTGGCTGAACTTATCAATTCTACTCATTAGCTGTGCAGTTACCATTGCGATTTCCACTTAGGAGAACAGAGGTTGGAAGGCCGGGCAGCCTTCCAAGCCCGGTTACCCCTGTTGGTGCAGTGGGTGGGCCTTACACTCACGGAGACAGCCTGCAAGGTGACGTTGCCTGCGTGTCTACAACTCACCTACGTCGCACACACGCAGTTATTTTTACGGAATATTTTCCCTTTGTAAGACGGATTTATAATTTTTAGAATATGTCTTCCTCAAGCTTTTGGTTTGATAAGCATGAAATGAAAAGTTCCATTTTAATTCTTTATATCAAATGTCTATGCCTTTTCAGTTTTACTGTGAGGCGTGTGTTTCCAGAGATAACACAGATTTAAATAAAATTTTAAGTAAATTTGACAATAAGAGAAAATACATTTGTTTTTGTTTTATTTAATGGAGAAAAATTTCTGTTCCAAATTTGATTGTTTTTAGTTTTGGGTTTTTAAGATCTAATGTAGCTAAACAAGTTTTCACGTACTGTCTCGATTAGCAGTGAGAAATAGCTCCAGCCAGGTCAAGAGTAGTATGCTTTATACTAAAGAACATCTTAAAGTCTAATTGCATGTCTCCGCAGTCTGCCAGGTATGCCCTTCTGATTCCAGTGCATTCCCTCCAATTCCTGGTCTACCCCTTCCTTAGCCTCCCCCAGACCTATCCTCTCCCCAGGAAAAATAGAGAAAAGAAAGAAAAGGAGAAAGAAAGGGAGAAAGAAAAGAAGTAGAGAGGGAGGAAGGCAGGGGAGGAGGGAGGAGGGAGGGAGGAATGGATCCTGGGACCCTTTCAGCTTCCTGCTGTACGGAGGTGAAGGTTTCGATGGAGCTTGCTGAGATGATGAAGTTGCCATTGTGAGCTCACGTAGCAGTCATGTTCAGATCTCGTCAGCGTTCGCTGAACAGAAAGTGCTTTTGTAACTTCCTATCCTGCTGTCCTTCACTGAGCCTCACTGTGGCCAAACACTGTGGAGTGCTTACTTGTGTTAGTGATTTGGGTCTTACATGAGGCCCCTGAGGGGAAGTGACTCGCCCAAGACTGTCCGAGTAGTAGGACGAGAGCCCAGCTCAGTGTGTTCATTGGTCATGAAGAGGAAGGGCCGGGGAGAGGGTGTGTGGCTATTGGAGGACGGCAGTGGATGGAAAGATGTGTGCCAACACGGCTGGTGCCGTGGAGAGCTAGCGCTGCCACTAGGTGGAAATGCACACGGGACACAATTCCGCATGGTGAAGTTTGCGGTCTGTCTTCGTTGACGATGATGATGGTAACTGATTACCAAGAGCAGGCTGGGTTGGCCTTGTAATGTGTTGATTAAGTGCTGTGCTCTGGGAGCCAAAACCCACATAGCTGCCTGCAGTTTGAATCCCAGCCTGGTGACTTGAAAAATGCATTGAGTAGGGACCAGCAGTTAGCGTAATGGCTATGTCGCTGGACTCCCATGTAGTCAACTGTGGTTCGAGTCCCGGACCTGGTGGCTTAAAACTCATGCCGGGCGCGTGTGCGTGTGTGCCCAAGATCCCGAGAGGAGAATGGAGGAGAAGGGATTGCGGCGTGGCCATCCCCCCGGGGGGTGATTTCTCGCTTTCTGTCTCTCTGTCTCTCTCTGTCTGTCTGGCGAGTGCACGCGCCCTATAGCAAAAAAAAAAAAACCTCTCCAAAAAAAATGCATTGAGTATAGCACCTGAAATTCCTGACCGCATGGGGGCAAGGAGGCGAAGGGTGTTGCTGCGTGACTCGCCCTGTGGGAGGGACTGTCTCTGTCTCTCTGGCAAGTGCATGCTACCAATAAAAACCGAATATGCCAGCAGACAGTGTGGAGATTTAGGTGACTGGATCTCACATGCTGACTCTGCAGTTCAAATTCCCTACCTGTGGCTTGAAAAACACACTCGGTGCATGTGTATACAGGCCCGAGATCCCAGGAGGAGAACGGAGGAGGAGAGATTGCAGAACGGTCATTCCTCCTGGAGGGTGCTTGCTTTCTCTGTCTTTCTGTGTTTGTCTGTATCTGGCAAGCACATGTGCCCTATAGCACATGAAGATGAAAAAAAAAGGGGAGGAAGCCAGTGGCATGGTGGTTAAAATGGCTGGGTCCCATATGGCCAACTGTGTAGTTCGAGTCCCTGACCTGGTGGCTTGAGAAGTGTACTGGGCACGTGTGTGTGTGTGTGTGTGTGCGTGTGCACACACGCACACACTCAAAATCCCTAAAGGAGGGAGAGATCAGGGAGAAGGGATTGTGATGTGCTCTCTGGCCCCCCAAAAAAAAAGAACGAACTCTTTGCATGGTGAGCATGCTTGCGTGGTGAGCACGCTCCGTGTACTGTCTCTCCTTCAAAATGCCTCCGTAAGTACACTGTGGTGGGATTTATCGTCCAGAAAACAAGGCACAGAAAATGTACCCAGGCAGATCAGTTACCTGCTAGTGAAAAGGGTCAGAAACAAGAAAGTCCCACCATTGTGCCGACCTGCTGTCCAGGGCTGCCCCTTCCTCCTTCCCACAAGTTCTCTTTGCTTCCTTCCTTTAGAAAAGCTTCGTTCAGATGTGAAAATGGTAAACTGTGTTTTTTTCTATAACTGTGTATTAACACAAGACTATGTATTTATTTATTGTTAGGTTTTTGACATAGGGTGCGTGTGTTCACAGGAGACAGAGGGAAAATGAGAGAGTATCCTGCAGAGAGGGCGGCCATGCCACAGTCCCTTCGCCTCTGTTCTTTTCGCAGGATTCCGGGCATATACGCACACACACCTGGCATGACTTTCAAGCCGCTGGGTTGGGACTTAAACCACGGGATTCCTGTCCCCTAACCACCACGCAACCTGCTGACCCCAACACAAGGCTTTAGAAGTGATAAGTCAGCAGCTGGTGGCATCGTGGTGAAGGCGCTGGACTCCCACATGGCCAAATGTGGTTGGAGTACTGGATCCAGCGGCTCGAAACGCATCCAGGCACGTGTGCGAGTGCCCCAAATCCTTAGGGGAGAGTGGAGGAGAGGGGATCATAGCATGGCCATCCCCCCGGGAGATAGTTCTTACTTTCTCTCTTTTGTCTCTGGTGTGCATACACGCCCGATAGCAAAAAAATCTCTTAAAAAAAATAAAGGAAGTGATTAATCAGAAAATACATACTAGGTCCCCACAGAACTTGTATAACGTAGTGTTTGCTTAAGATAGCGTTTATGCTCATAATTACATGTAACACTGATAAATGGCACGTAGAAATCAGGTGTCATTGCTACCTTTTTTTTTGTTTAAATTCTGAAAAAGAATATACCTAGTGGCAAGCCAGGGATCCTGTCGGCTTGAATATACAGATCTATGCTACCTTTAATCGTTTTCATTTCACGCATATTTCTAATAACTTTTAACACGTTTCTGACATTAGGAACGTAAGCGAGCTCTGGAGGCAGAACGGCAGGCGCGCGTGGAAGAGTTGCTGATGAAGAGGAGAGAACAAGAAGCTCGGATCGAGCAGCAGAGGCAAGAAAAGGAAAAAGCCCGTGAGGATGCAGCCCGGGAAAGAGCCAGGTACCTCTCATTTGCGATCTTGAGTTTGATCCCGGTGTCTTAGGAATGAATATGCAAATCAGGTCTTAAAATAAGCCCAGATACTGTCACATAGCTTTTTTTTTTTTTTGGAGAAATAGTCACAAGGGACCAGCAGATGGCATAATGGCTCTGTCGCTGGACTCCCATGTAGTCGACCGCGGTTCAAGTCCGGGACCTGGTGGCTTAAATTCATGCTGGGCACGTGTGTGCCCAAGATCTTGAGAAGAGTATGGAGGAGAAGGGATTGCGGCATGGCCATCACTCCTGGGGAGTTATTTCTCACTTTCTGTCTCTCTGTTTCTCTCTTTCTGGCCAGCGCACATGCCCTATAGCAAAAACCTCTCTCAATAATAATAATAATAGGGACCAGCAGTTGGTGTAATGGCTGTGTCCCTGGGCTCCCACTTAGTCGACCGCGGTTCGAGTCCCGGACCTGGTGGTTTAAACTCACACCAGGTGCATGTGCGTACGTGCCCAAGATTCCTGAGAGGAGAATGGAGGAGAAGGGATTGCGGCGTGGCTATCTCCCTTGGGGGGTGATTTCTCGCTTTCTTTCTCTCTGTCTCTCTGTCTTTCTGGCGAGTGCATGCATCCTATAGCAAAAACCTCTCCAAAAAAAAAGAAAATAATAATAATTTTAAACAGTAATGACCCTTTAGAATGTATAAGCCTGTGTCCTAATCGCATTTTTTTTTTTTTTTGGAGAGGTTTTTGCCATAGGGCGTGTGCGCTCACCAGACAGACAGAAAGCAAGAAATCACCCCCCAGGGGGGATGGCCACACCGCAATCCCTTTTCCTCCGTTCTCCTCTTGGGATCTTGGGCATGTATGCACACACGCCTGGCGTGAGTTTAAGCCACCAGGTCCGGGACTTGAACCATGGTCGACTACGTGGGAGTCCAGCGACATAGCCATTACGCTAACTGCTAGTCTCCCAATCGCATTTTTTAACCTCATCAGATTTGTTGTGCCAAGGAACTGAGTCTGTAATCTTCACTCATTCCTGCAGAGACAGGGAAGAACGCTTGGCAGCGCTGACAGCTGCTCAGCAAGAAGCTATGGAAGAGCTACAAAAGAAGATTCAGCTCAAGGTAGGGGTGCTTTATTTTTTAATTTGAAATGTTAGTTTGCAATGCAGTATTAAATTACAGTTTTATCTATAGAAAAAAATTGGTTTCTTAGTCTTTGAACCATAGTCTATGATACGTCTGTGACCATTTCTAACTCAACTGTCTAGAAACTAATCTTAATAAGGTAGAGCCATTGAGAGAACAATACTAAAAGAAATTTAGCATTTCCTGTTTTACTAAGCAAGTTACTTAACGATTTGACGGCATTACTGCTAGGTCTCTGGTACATTCATGGAGCAGAGTAAGTTATAAATGGAAGACTGCCTTTATCATGTGTTTCATTTGGTTTCAGTGCTTATGATTTTTTCTTTCTCCTTGGGATATTAACTGTCGGTATAGAACAACGGGAAAAGGAGTTGGGAGTAGCTAGAAGTCTGGGCCACGAGAGGCCCTACCTTCTGTGTGGATAGTGTGGGCTTCCCCTCAGGGTCGACATTTCCTGCGGTGGGTCCAGGAAGTGCCCCTTAAAAGCATGTTGTAGGCAAATAATTTGTAAAATGCTGCTTACTGTAAGTGATGCTTATAGTCTAAAACACATTGTCATGCTACAGGTTGTGTAATGTTCTGTGTTAAAAACCTGCTTAGCTTTCACTTAGTTTTCCAAATTTATTTGACCATGGAAGCTCTGCTAATATTCGTGGGGCACACACGAGGATGTGGACAACACTAAGGGGCTGTGCGTAAACCCTGTTGTCAGTGCGCTAGTGAACGTGAGAATGAGCATCTCCTCTTCCTTCAAAATATTTAACGCACATGCTGCTTTTTACACGTTCTCAGTGTATTTGAGTAATTCTTGCATTTGACTTTATTGGTAGCATGATGAAAGCATTCGAAGGCACATGGAACAGATCGAACAAAGAAAGGAGAAAGCTGCTGAATTAAGCAGTGGGCGACACGCAAATACCGATTATGCCCCCAAGCTGACCCCATATGAAAGAAAGAAACAGTGCTCTCTCTGCAATGTCCCGGTAGGTTGTCATTGTCCATAGGTCACGATACATTATGGTTCATCACTGAAATTTATGAAACCGGGGTAATATAATCTCCTAGTCTTTCGGAACATATTAAGACATCTGCTGGGTGCCATTGATTTCTTTCGTGGCTTTGAATGAAAAGTAAGTAATATAAATAATATTAGCATTTAACAGCAGCAGTGCAAAGTTGCTAATGTGTGTAGTTACTACTAAAATGGATGTTTACCTGCTTAATGGTAGCCCAGGGCTATATTTTGGGGTATTAGAACCACAAAAGAAAAGCAGCGTTTTAAGCGCTAAGACATGAACCTTCAGATTTTTGGAGGAAGGGTTTCCTGTTAGGATGGCTGTGATAGATGGCATGCCTTCTTTTAGTCATTTGTCTTCTAGAGGATTCACAGAATTATGTTTTAGTTTTTGCTGTAGGGTTCTTGTGCTTGCCGGAGACACAGAGAGAGAGAAAGGAAGAAAGTGACAAATCATGCCCCCGGGGACGGCCTCACTGCAGTCCCTCCTCCTTCATTCTGTTCTTGGGATTTGGGCACACACGCATGTGCACTCATTGTGATTTTCAAGTTGCCGGGTATGGGGCTCTTACTGCATTCGCCGTGTGGGAATTCAGTGCCTTAACTACCAAACCACCTGCTGACCCGAAGGAAAATACTTTTAAGCCTTGTATGTTAGTGTTAGAGTAGTCTCCACGTGCATATAGTACACTGATCTGATGTGTTCTCATTAAATTTAGATGTAATGTAATATGGATTTCAGTGCTTTGATTGTGTGCTTTTAGATCTCGTCGGAGGTGTATCTTTTTAGCCACATTAAAGGGAAAAAGCACCAGCAAGTTGTGAGAGAGAATAGCAGCATCCAGGGGCGTGAGCTTTCAGATGAAGAAGTGGTAAGTGCTCTTGCGTTCACTTAGGGCTAGTTACGATACGAGGGCCTCCGTGTGCTCTTGTTAGGAGGGATTCCACGTTTGTGTGTATGTGTCTGATTATAACTAAACTTAGCGTTTACTAACCAATACCATATAGTTATTTTAGTATGTGTTCTAATTTAGTAAGAGATATTAAAAACAGGAATTTAATACTGTTATTTATATAACTTCTGAGCAAGGAAAGGTTATGATATTTTGATATATTAATAATGTAAGAAAATACCAGGTTGTTGGAAAAGTCATGGTGTATTTTTTCTTTTTTTTTTTTCTGTGCAAAAATGTGGCTTTGACAACCCAGTAATTATTCAGTGATACACCAGATTTCTTGCTAAATAGTTAACAATATAAATTTCATATAAATGGATAATTTTGGGTCAGTAGATCATTTAGTTTTGGAAATGCATTATTTATTCTCCTATAGTTAATTTACATGGGATTTTAATTTGTCTAAAATGTTTATAAATATTTCTCATTTAACTGTTTATTTTTTTAAAGATTATTTAAGTTTATTTATTTATTTACTCATTTTAATTTGACCGGAGAAGGGCAGAGCAGGAGAGAGAGAGAGAGAGCAAGTGAGAGAGCAAGTTGCCAGATCCGATACTCAAGGGTGGTCGGCCATGTGGGAGTCCAGCGCCCTTAGCCACCATGCCACCTGCCGGCCCCTCGACTGTTACTGAGACTTCGGTGATGTAGCTAGCTAATCTATGAATGTGTTGGTTCTATTTATAATAAACATTTCTAAAGCTACTCAAGAATGGGAAATTTATGTTTGTCAAGAGTCTCAAGGGGCCAGCTAGGCCAGCAAGTGGCATGGTGGTTAAAGGCGCTAGACTCCCACATGGCTGACCACGGTTCAAGTCTCAGAACTGGTGGCTTGCTTTCTCACTTCCTCTCTGTCTCTCTGTCTCTCTGATCAAACTGGAAAATAATAATGATGATAATAAATAAAAGTTAAATAAAATACTTCTTTAAAAAATTAAAAAAAAAAAAAAGGAGTCTCTTAAGAGGTCCGGGGAAGAGTACTGTGGGTTCTTCTCCACAGCACCTGTGTGTATGTTGGTTTGTTTTCTGTGATGTGGGATATGGTAGTAAACTACACAAGTCCCTATACGTCCGGTGGATTTTTACATACGTGTACACTGATACACCACCAGATGAAGACAGAGGTCAGTTATTGCACCCCCCAGGCGCCCCATGCTTGTCTCAGACATGTCCCCAAAAAGTAACCACCCTCCGACTTTCTGCTCCGTCATGCACCCTTCCTGCTCCCCAGCTTCATCTGCTCTGCGTCCTCTAATGCGCACTCTTGCGTCTCGACTTCTTTCTCTCATCCTTAGGTCTTTAATACTGATCCTTAATGGTTATGTGAAGCTGTAGTTAATGATTTTTCTGAACTTTTTGGCAATGCCCTCCAGGCAGAGACCATCAGGAACACATCTATGGGTGAATAAAATCAGTTTATTGTCATGGTAAGAGGAGAGAAAGCATACAGCATGGGGAGCTGTGGAGCCTCTCAGTGAAAGGTAGCAGAGGAATCAGGAGAGAATTCAGCTTGTGGTAGGCAATGGGGCGGGAGGGAGGAGATGAGGCTTTGCCCGGTGCTGTCTGAAAGCATGAGTAGTCTGTCTGGTTTCTTAACACGCATCTGTGCGCGAGGAGTGGCACTGAGCTTCCCCCTGGCTTTCTGACTAATGCTTGGGGGGAACTGCACACTCTTATCTGAGCTCACTTCGTGATTTCTTCCTTCCGGAAATGTTGCTCCTCAAGCTCTAACCTGCTCTGTCCCAGCTCCGAGCTCTCAGTGTGCCTCAGCTTACTGGACTGCTGCTTTCAGTCCGCACCGCTCTGCCGTGCCAGAACAGGCACGCGCCTGTAGGAGAGATCCAGCGTGAACACGGAACACGCCCGTGTGTGTCCCTTGTGGTAGGGACCATAGTGTCTGAGGAGCTGACTGTGCTGAGTGCCCCTTAAGACTCCCACTTAGTTGTCGTGTGCGTGTCGTCTGCCTTTTCGGAGTTGAAAACTTAGTCTATTGTAAGCCTGTTCACTGTGGCTGAAACTGAAAGTCTCCAGTGTTTAATTTCTGTAGTCATGTTGACGTATGTGTGATATACAGTTAAGGTTTTTATTAAATGCTCATTGAAGTGAATTGAACTGAATGGAAAGGCTATACAGAATGGCTTGAAGATATCATTGGATGGGACTCTAAATTTCTCCTGTGTAAATTCTTAGTATTTAACAGAAGAGAAATGGTATGTGGAACTAAGTATCTATCTCATTTTCATCAAATCATTTTTTCTCTTTTACTCAGATTATATTTTAAGAGAAGAGTGGTATTAATATTTTTTCGTGTACCTCTCATGATTTCTCCCATTTTCTTTTTTCCTTTTTTACAGCAATGTAAAGCTTTATTTGCTTATTTTTCCACGAGTGAGAGAAAGAAGGGGAGAGAGGGAGGGAGAGAGACAGGCTCCTCTCACATGGTCCTCATGCCTCATCCACTCCCAGCTCCAGCTAGCCCTGGGTCATGGGCACATACGCACCCTTTATTTAAGATTTTTCTTTAATTTTTAAATTTACTTTGTTGTTATTATTTAATTTGATCAGAGAGAGAGAGTAAAAGAAAGTGAAAAAGCAAGCCACCAGGTCCGGGACTCCAACTGTGGCTGGCCATGCTGGAATCCAGCACTTTAACCACCATACCACCTGCTGGCCCCATACACATTGTTTATGTCCAAGGAGGTCTCCACACTTGAACCCATTACTAATGTGCCACTCCAGCCCTGGTTACTCCCACTTTTAAAAAGTTTGTTGTTTATTCCTCAGAGAGAGAGAAAAAGAGACGGGAGATACAGTATCACCAGTAGGGTCCTGTGCCGTCGTCCTCCCTCCGCCTCTGCTGGCCCAGATCACGAGCACACTCCTCTAGCATGTCCAGGGCAGCCTCCAGACTGGGCCTGGCAACCCTCCATGTGGGCCTGCCTTCAGGAGCATCTTGCTTCACTGCTGTGTCCCCGTCTGGCCCCTGACTCCCCTTTTCTACGTGCATTCACTGTTCAGAATCAGAGTCACATAGATGTGTGCTCTACTTTGAGAAGATCCTAAATTTCCTTAATTAATTACAAGGTAATAACTCCTATGATAAGGGAAGTTCTTTTTTTTTTTTTTAACATTTGACCATCTTTAATTACTTAATTTTTAAGGTTTTTGATATAGGATGTGTGCACTTATAAGAGAGAGAAAGTGAGAAATCACTGCCCCCAGAAGGGATTGCTGGGAACCAGCAGTTAGTGTAATGGCTATGTCACTGGACTCCCACATAGTCGACCGCGGTTCGCGTCCCGGACCCGGGGGCTTAAAACTCACGCTGGGCACGTGTGTGTGCGTGCCCAAGATCCCGAGAGGAGAATGGAGGAGAAGGGATTGCAGCGTGGCCATCCCCCCTGGGGGGTGGTTTCTCGCTTTCTGTCTCTATGTCTCTCTCTGTCTGTCTGGCAAGTGCACGTGCCCTATAGCAAAAACCTCTCCAAAAAAAGAAAAAAGAAGGGATTGCCACACCGCAGTCTCTTCTCCTCCATTGTCCTCTTGGGATTTTTGGGCATGCACACAAATGTGCCTGGCATGATTTTGCCACAGGGTGTGCGCCATCACGCCTCCTGGCATGATTTTTAAGCCACCAAGTCTGGGACTGGAACCATGGTTGGCCATGTGGGAGTCCAGCTTTTTAACTACCACACTGCCTGCTGGCCCCGGGGAAAGTCATTTTATAAAAGCTATTTGTGGGACCAGCAGTTAGCATGTAATGGCTATGTCGCTGGACTCCCATGTAGTCGACCATGGTTCGAGTCTCAGATCCAGAGGCTTAAACTCATGCCGGGTGCGTGTGCATGCGTGCCCAAGATCCCAAGAGGAGAAGGGAGGAGAAGGCACTGCGGTGTAGCCATCCCCCTGGGGGCTGATTTCTCGCTTTCTGTCTTCTCTCTGTCTTTCTGGCGAGCGCATGCGCCCTGTAGCAAAAACCTCTCCAAAAAAAGAAAAAAAAAAAAAAGCTATTTGTAATTTAGTTTCTTTAATAAAAGACTATAATACATTATTTAATCTACAGAAAAATTTCTAAAAGTTTTTGGAGTGTGCTGTTATGTGAACTGAAATATAAATTTTACATGTTCTTATTTCAATGAGGAAAGATGAGATAGCGAGAATGGTTAATGCAATTTGGAAGAATAATGTTTGGTAAAATCTGATTTTTGTGGCTGCCATTGCAGCTTGATGTTTAGCTGCTGTGGTTTCTGATTTAATTGATGTGTTCCTTTGGTATACTGTCATAGTTTAAAGGAACGAAATTTCCTCTGAGTTCCTACTTATTCATGTAGTTATTCTTGGTTAGCATCCCTTAACCCTGAAAACAAGTGTGCAGTACAGGATCGGAGTTATGTGGTACAGAAAGGCGATTTTATAGTACTCACATGGAAGTTTCGTTTTTAATCAGTGAAGATAGCTATAGTAAACACACTTGTTCTACTTAAAGTTATTACTTGTCATCTGTGATGTCTTTATATTATATACACCTTGTCTGTGACCCTTCTTCTTTGACATAGAAGATTTTATTTATATCACCTCTGACCTAATAAAATTGTACCTTTGACCTTACGAGCTTGACATCTCAAATGACTTACTCTTGATCTTTGACACATTTTGTTTTAAGCTTGTTAAATGTAATAGGTAGCTGCTGAGTGAGAAAGCTTTATTGTTTTGTGTTTTTATTGTAATTTGGAGAATTTTTCTATTGTTTCTTGGTACGTCACAAAAAGAATCTTTACTCATTTGGTTTTTCTTTCTTCTTTTATCTTCTAGAATCCAGGTAATGGAAGCATATGATTTTTAAAGATCTAAAGAGGGCACTAGTTTTAAATACGCTGTTATAGAAGAACTGCAGTATTAGCTTTAATTCTTGATTT